TAGGTCTCTACGATTATTTAAACAGTACTTCATAAAAAAATAAAATAAAAAAACAATCGAAAATAATAAAACCATCATTATTGCCTTAAAATTTTCCGTTTTTTCTAAGTGTTTTTTTGGCGGTTTCCCCTAATTGAAAAGAAAACTAGTTAATACAAAATTAAAAATAACCACCCAACAGTAGATCCAAAGTACTACAAAGAAACTCGAGTTGTTTTAAAAAAGTGGTTGTCATGAAAAAAAAAAAAACAAACAAATCACAATAAAACCAATACAATCCTCGCTGCGCCGAGAATCTAAAAAGTGGTCACTCGGGTGATAACGTTTTATTTTTCAGTATAATATATTATTATTATTGTGTTATCGGGACCGAAGCTTTCTATTATTGTTGCCAAATCGCCCTGAATTGTGTTAGAAAATGCAAAACTCCGTGGGTCACGTCATATATTATTATACATATTATATTGATACTGATGCAGTATATAGTTTCCTCCGAGACTTGTAAAATCTAACTCTGCGACCTTTTTTTTTTTTTTTTTTTTTTTTTTTATCATTTTATAATATATCGGCCCGATTTATCCAGTCACGGAACTAGATCCTTTCAACTGCATGTATATATTGGGCATGTGTATAGGAATCGGAAGCGTTTTTTATTTGAATTGAAGAAGTAAAATATACATTATATAAACGTGCATACATTGGACATGGTTCAACGTATTACGATGCACACTCAGTATAATTAAAAATGTCGAGACCGGACGTCTTAGAGTGAGTACGCTAGACTATTTTGTTTTATCTTTTTAATAGAAACAGAAAATACAATTTTCAATAAGAATATAATAATCCGCTTAAAAAATTTTAAAACAAAAACTTATAAATTTTATTTACAAAAATATAATTCCAAAACCTCAACATGTCATATATACATATATACGTATAGTTTAGTATACTGATCAGTGATAATATTATATTTTTAAAAAGTCATCGATATTTATAAATCCGTGTTAGCCGAGCTTATAAGTTCTTAAATTTTATTAAATAAAATATACATTTATAATTTTGAAGACTATAAACAATACTTACTTATATTACTTAAATCGTATTAATTATGTAATTAATTTCATTGTTACACCTCGCAGGATATAGTAGTTGTATATCAGTATCTATTGACACTTTCTAAAAATTTTCTAAGAATTAAATGTTTTCATAATAATGTAACCTGTCGCACTGAATTATAATTGATAAAAATCAAATAATTCTCTCAAAAAATCATTATTTGCTCAAAAAAAAAAAAAAAAAAATATGCAAACAGTTAGTGTCATTAATTATATTCCATGAATACAGCTGCTACTCTTGGTCTGGAGTGATTTCAGTAAGACCTATAATAGTATTATCCCTTGTTTTAGAGATAAATGTATAATACCGAAAGAAATACAATCAATATAAGTTTTCAATAAATCACTTTGTGAATGCTTTGTTGTGAATATAAACTTACAGTATGCTTGAAGCATACAATAAATTACAGTTGAGGGTACGAAAATGAGTTTTGCTAACGCAGTACACCCACGATGAAATTTATTTTGTTGTAATAATTATATTACTGATGATCCATTGTAAAATGTAAGACTTACACTAAAAATGATAAAAGAAATATGATGCACACCCTCGTGAAATGAACCGATAAATGACAAACAACAATTAATTAAAAATAACTAGACTGAATATATTTCATATTATTTCTTTTCATATTTATTTTATATATTATGTTTTTACTATAATATAGACTCACACACAATTATTCATATTTTTTATGTCATTACAAAATATACTTGATTGTTCGTAATGACATATAGTTTACGGTGATAATGTCATTATTTCATTAACATTATCTATACCTATATTAATTATGTTGAAATGGTTATTTTTTGTGTAGAAAAATGTATTAAGATTATAATATTGATGATTTTTCAATTGTAGTTGCATAGTTTAATAATTATAGTTATTTTTGATTATGTGTAGGGAATGAGCTATTTTAGTTGTTTTAGTTTTTCGTCATAGTATTTTACTAAGTTGTATTCCATAGTTAAAATTCTTAGATTTTTCTATGTAGTACTTACGTTAAAAGATGCGGGATTTCCACAAGGTGGTACTTTATTTAAAAATCTCAAGGCTTATAAAAAAAATAATATAAAAAAAAGAAAAAGTTGCTACCTCTAAAAATCGGAGCAAGTTTATTAGGAAAAACCGTGTCCACAGACTAGAACAAAGAACAAAGAAATAAACAGTATTTTAAAACCAATAGTTCGCCCGCTACGCTCGGAATCTAATACATTCCGAATCTAAAAAAAACGTGTGTGTAGCCACAAACCAACTATGAAAAAAAATTATAATAATATTGACAATATTGTATTAAATATTTTTATCAATACATATGCGGTATTAGAAATTAGTAAATTATCGAGGGTAAAGAAACTAAGAATTTATAAGTATTAGAGATAATATAAGAATAGAATAGTTTTAATTACTTTTAAATTCCTTTTTTTTAATTACCTACGTGAAACAAGTATTAAGTCTTAAGTTTTAAATTTGTTTTTAATTTAGAGTGAAGGTTAGATACTTAATCTTTGTACGAATGATTTATTTAATTATAGTGAAACATATAAAGTACAGATATATTAGTTTTATAATATTATATAATATTAATTCTAAAGCCTTTGTCTGTATTTTTATCTTATTAAAGAAAAAATATATTGTTTTAATTCTCAAGTTAAAAAAAACTGTCTTAGGATAATAGGAACGGTGAAGTCAATGTTCTAGGTGAGACGTTGAATAGGTAGGATATAAAAGGAAATTTAATGTATATTTTTTTTAAAATTTATTATTTTACGTTTTCTTCGGTTGTTCATGTTTTTCCTGATTTTTCCCATTCGTTGGGAAAATCAAAAATTATCTATTTTAAGTACCGCAGTCAGATTTACTTTTAGAAAAGGTGCTATCATTGTAAATCAGAACAAAATTGCTGGTAGAAAAGTTGTCCACAGAAAAAAAAAAAATTAAAATATATACATCCTTGTAAAACCATAAGATTTTTCACTACACTCAGAATCTAAAATAAAATATGTTCTAAAAAAGAATGCAAAAATCTTTTTAAAAATACTCACTGAATAAATAATAAAGAATTTATTAAACACTGTTTAAATATTCTCGTTTATTCCCCCCAATTTAAAAAAAAAAAAAAAAAATGGAGCTGATAGGATGCTGATGGGTGTACTATCTAGACAACTTGAACTTTCAAAAGTTTTGATTCCTAAATATCGGATCAAATTTACTAGGCAAAAACGTGTCCAAAGACTAACACAAAGAATAAAGAAGAAAAAAAAATAAACAGCATTGTAAAACCAATAGCTCCTTTGCTACGCTCAGAATCTAATAGTAACACTTCAATATTTTCATATACAAATTACATTATAATAAAAATCACATAAATTATTCCTTTGTTTCGTCGTGTAAATTTTATGTTAATTTAAATATGATGTATCCAGGTCTCATGTTTTAAAAAAAACTATACACAGCAATATGACTTTAATTAGATTGCAAATATAAGTACCTAAATTATTATTTTAGTTGTTTATATTTTTTAAATTATATTTAGAAAACAAAAAATAGCTGGTCACAAATTTAAAACGTTATCTACTAAATACTATGTTTTTATATGTTTATCGAATACAATAAAATAAATTGAATAGGAGAACATAACGAAACACCACCATGCAAGTATCAAACTCTAGCTTTTTCTTTGATTTAAATATTACCTTTGTCATGTAAAGTAAAACCCTTGTGAGTCAGTTGCAAATGATAAACATAATTAGGGTACCTATATGTATAACTTCTTTTTGTATGAAATTTACACGACATTAATTAATTATAAAAATGTCAAATTTTCAAATTTTAGTGAATTTCGTAATTGTTATAAGTAAATACTATAAAACGCAATTACATAATTAAAATTCATCCATCATAGCAAATTGAAGGTAGGTATTAATATTTTCAAAACATTAATACCTACCTTCATTTTGTGAAAATATATAAATAGGTTCGAATAGATTTATTGGACACTATTGGACAACTTTCAAACATGGTTGGACTTAATTTTCATTAGTAAGGTCAGAAACCTTCTATTTTTTTTTAGACAGCATTTATTTTAAACATATTTTTTAAAATAACTTTTTTATAGCACAAATTATAATGTTACATATATTAATGTATACTATTATGAATTAATCTAGTCATGATTCTAGTAATTAATTTAAATTACTTGGGTATTGTAATAACAAATTTGAAAGTTGTCCAACAGTGTCTAACAAATTGGGAAGAATATGTGTAGCATACAAATATTTACACTGTTGGCGTTAACTTGGCAGCGCAAAATTTGATTATCAGAGTATCATTTGTATGGTGGTATGAAGCGCGGCGTTTTATTAGTGCTCCGCTACTCTCCCCCTATCTAAATTTAAAAGTAGAATATCTCGTTAACGGGTTAACGGGAATCAACAATTTTTACACTAAAATTTATTTAATGTAATACTCAATCTGTTTGTGGAATTTTTAATGCATGTTTTCATTTGAAAAACCAAAGTTATTATCGCCATATGATACTCTTTAAATGTTGTGAAAAACCAAAGTACAAGAAAATATCGGTTTTAAATACATTTAAAAATTACAAAAATCAGAATTTGGATACATGCAAAATTTAACCGAAAGAATAGGGTGAGTATGCTTAGTGAATCATCTGTATAAAACAGCTGATTTACTACGGTAAACAATTCTATACAAAATCTAGGATTGAGTATAAAAATACATAGTAAATATTGGGACGAAAAAAATGGCAATATGGAAATCGGGTAGAGGGGAACTGATGTAATTTATTTGAATTTTTAATTATTGTATAATTTATTGAGGTATACATTATTTTCGAATGTAATCGTTGATCTTATTATTTGTCAAATTTCGCCCGGATCTGATTTAAGTTTAACTATGTTGTCGAGTTCATTTGATAGATCATTTCTCATTTGTTGATACTGTAAGGAAACATGAAATTATAATAATGTTACACTTAGGAGTATGTATAAATAATTTTCAAGTAAATATTTTATAGAATCTAAATTGATTTGTTTTTTGAAAATGATAAATTTATTATTTTGTGATCATATTATCTACCAGTGCTTAAATTGGAAAAAAGGAATCAATTGTCCATATATTTTTATATAGTTCAATATATTTGCATACTGAATCAGGAGCGTTCGGGGGAGGGGGGTATGGTGAAAAGGACAGTTATCCCTCCCCCTCCATGGCCTTTTTTGATTCAAATTTTTATAATTTTTATCACACTAGGAAAATACATAAAAGTCCACCGTAAAATCATATATATAAATGTATTTTGTGTTTAATTCAACGACCATTTAATCATTTTATAACATGATAATCGTTATATTATTATTATCATCAAGCTTATCACTTATTAATGAAAGATAAATAAAAAAAATATCATTAAATCATTTTTGGATATATATCGGTAAATTCGGTATATTTCGAAGTCAGTAAACTTTTAATCACGCACTTTTTAATCAATTTTTGCTGTAAACAATTCTGACTGGCCATTATGAAAAAAAAGAACGGGCAAGTTAAAATATTTTTAGAAATGAAGTGGTACCCTGTCCTCTTCCTCCGTGTCCTACCCTCTCAAGCATTGTGTACAATCATAAATATCAAATAAAATGGAAAATATCAAGATTCATGTTATTTTATTTTATTTATTTATATATTTAATATTAGTACAATAAAATTATTAAAACTGAACGTCTGCTTTTTTTGTTATCACATTTCTCTAGAGAGAGAGACACGAGAAGATAAGATAAATAAATATAAGATATATTTCTCCATAAAAAGGAAACGTTTGTTTAGTGGTAATAATCTCGAAACCTATTGAACCGATTTTGATACGGTTTTCATTATTATTCATAGAATTTCAATAAGGAGAAAGTTTTAGGTTAATTTTCAATCTGGAAGTTCAACCTCTAAAGGGTGTCCCACACATTCATTTTATCCTTAAAGTAAGAGAATTGGATTAGTTTTATTTACTTTAATTATATGAGAAAAAAAAAAACAGTTATTAATTTATTTGATTGTCATGAACAAGGAAGACCCTTTTTAAAATGGCATTAAGTTCGTAAAATTTAAAAGATGACTTGGTTTGCAAAGTTTATTCTAATATTGTCACTGACTATGTGAATATCATCATGACATCCTGGATCATATATGTGTTTGAAATTAAGTCATTTCAAGTCTTGTAAGAGAAGGGAATAATGAATACTAATACAATACTAAACAAATTGATATCCTTTCGACGCCATTCTTCAAACACATAATAATAATCATCTCGTAACATTTTTAAATATGATTTTAGAGAATCATTTAAGAAAAAAGTGTAGTGGTTGTGAGTTTTTTTATAAATTACCTCCTTAAATATAATTTGCAGCTCATTATTGATATCACCACCAATGGCATCATATTGTTTGATTTTATCAATTCTTTCCATAAGTGTAGGATAATTTGCCTATAAAATGTATTTTGAAAAATATTTAATAAAACACGTATTGACAATACAAAATACAAACTTTTTCAACAGGTAATGAATTTGGTTTGGTTGTTTGACTGGGAACGGCAGTAGATTGTGGAATAATCTAACATAATAATAATAAATAAATACAATAATAAATATATACAGAAGTATTTAGTACCTACTCTAAAGTTAATTAATTTATTAAATTTCGTGTTAAAGAAATTATAATTATTAATGAGTGTATATAGTTTGTTTTATTAGTTTTTAGTATTCTACAAAATTTAAAGCTGAGGAGCCTTATATAACCATTAGTAGGGCTCGGAAGTTATATGAAGTAAATGTTGTTAAATATGCACACAAAAAACCAAAAATATTTATTTAAATCTATAAACTATGCAAAATATGCATAAAAAAACAATTAAAAATATGTGTAAAATTTAATAAATATGAAAAAAAAACAACATAAATGTCGTGTCCATACATTATATTCTTCTTCACCACCTTCGACTTCATCCCAACTATTTATGGTCAGCCATCCCGCCCTAAACTTCCACTTAACTTGATGGTCAAACTATCCCAGTATATTTTCTCTCATTTTGTCTACGGCTAAGCTATCTTATCTTATACGTGCTCATTCTTTATCGTATTTTTTGTCGTCACTTCACACATCTACTCGTCGGTATATTGTGTATAAAGCAAAAATAAAAATAAAATGAAATACGCGATAAAGTCGACTTCAATGGAGATGAAATAGGTTTTATACTCAATTTTATATAAAATACATAGATAGGTTAAAATGAAAACGAAATAATAATAACTAATATGCATATCTAAATATGCGTATTAAAATATGTATTTATTTGTTCGATTTTTAAACTCTTCATTGTGCAAAACTCATTTCTAGCTTGTTCTACTGTAAACCAAGAGCATACAAAACAATATGCAAATTATGTTAACGGACTTGTGAGGCAATTCATTTTTCTATATCTACTAAGTAATTTTAAAATCGGTATATACTCGTCCTCGGTTTAAAATACATTTGAAAAAACGATGAAATTGTTATGAGCACTTTGCCATTGTATATATTATTGTAGTCTATCGATAACGCCTGGTTTATAGGCGGCTCGGAGAATATTGTAGCCGTACGGCACCCGCATGAGAGCCGCGCAGTCAATCGAGCTACCACTTTTAAAACTGTACGTCGTCTCGACGACTAGTATAATATATTACACTTTAATTATGTAGTTCGACTCACATTAAAATTATATTAGTAACCAAAAATCCTTAGAACTGTTTTGTTGTACTCTCTCTTAAAAATTGGATCTCACCTCTCACCACCGAACAAATAAAAACAACTCGTACAGGCACAACAACCGGTGGCAGCGGTGGGATTCGAACCCACGCCTCCGAGTAGACCGATTTTTACAACAAAATGTAAAGCAAAACTGAATATAATTATTAATTATTTTTGGATAAATTGTACAGGCATGTTTTAAATTCTTTAAACTAAATTATATATACATATAGAATAATATAATGGCTTTTGCAGATTATGGCCAGACGGAATCGTGTTAAAGTGATAGTACAACATACCTATTTGATCTCAGTAGGTATACCGACGACATTGCACTCACTTTATTTTCGATTATTTTAGGTACGAATTCTTTAGGGTTCTTCTTTTTTGTTGTACTCCTTACTGATGCATCTAACATTCGTGTAGATTCCTGGATTTAAATTGACATATATTTTTATATACATTCAACGTTAGTCGGTATATTATATTATATTTGATGATTATTGAAAATAAAAATATATGAATTTACTTATAAGTAATCTACAAATATCTGTTCATGACGATACAGCGGTAGTACTTACTATTGCTCGAAAAATCAATGCTAACAACACAGCTGCATACATCAAACACGCATATACATATAAAAACATTTTAAATCGCCAATTTTAATATTATTTTAATGAACAAATAATATTTGTTTTTAATTTGAAAATGTCTAAAATCTATGTAATTACATAGGTTATTTTTATGGTAATAATTCTATAATGCGTTGGTTGTTATTTATTTTGGGTTCGGCAAGTGTGAGCTCAATAATCGTTAAGCCAGCTACACGGGAGTTGTATTGGTTTTTGCTAAATAAAAAAAAGATATGATGATTGTTTCTGCCCAATATATTTATTGTCTACCAAATGTACAGTTATCATTTTGAGTTATCCAGGGGCCACCACGAGGAGATGATTCTCATTGAACCTCTCCCCAAAAAAAAAAATTATTTATTTCATTGTAATCAGTTTAGGTTTGTGTGTTTATTTGATTATAATATATATATATTTATATGTATAAATTAATTATCAATTTAACTGCAAATTAATAATCCAGTTGTGTTAAATATGTATTGGTTTTAGGTTTCTAATAAAAAAAAAAAAACATATCTTTATATGTATAAAAATGAATGTCTGTCTGTATGTCCTTTATAGACTCGAAAACTACTGGACTGATTTTGACGAGGTCTTTTTGCAAAATGTTCCCTGTGGTCCGGAGAAGTTTTATAGCTATTGAAATTTCTAAAATTCTAGCATTAAAGGATAGCTGATATAGGGATTTTGGTATTTTGTGGTATCATTTTGGTTGATTGGGTTATCTTGGTAACAAAGTAAATATTATTATTATTTTTGTTGATTATGTGGTATCTATAGTCAAAACGTATTTATGGTATCTACTGAATATTGTTTGTTAATTTCATTGTAATTTTGATTGCTGATCAACGATCAACAAATTTAAATTCATTTAATTTAATTTTGAAATTTATTTCAACGCCATTTCGGTGCAGTTATGCTTCCTAAAAAAGTAGTGGTGTAGTGGTGCAAATTACATATTTTTATTTTTGTGTAAATCATAAACTCACCGAACACGTCTTTAAAAATAATTACTTCACAATTATTGTTTAGGTTTCTTGAACCGTTTTTAATTCGGTTACAATATGTAAATCGAGGAAATTAAAAGCTCTTCGGTAGCGCACTAGTTTTATTGTTTAGTGATTTTCGACAAACTCTACCAGTTATACCACGTTCTATAGCCGCTGATGAGCTCAATGCATGTAAAAATCTAACCTAAAAATGTACAACCAGTGATCAGCCATCAAGTTCGTGGTAATTACATGATAATTATTGACGCCGAAAAATAACGACATTTTTTATGTAAGGCTGATGAAATGTACGTAAGTTCACAAACTGTTAGGCTGTCTTTTAATCTGTTTTGTGAAAAATTATTTAGACCGGTCAAGAAGTCACGATTGCAATAAAGAGTTATTTTTTTATGTATAGAATCAAAAAAAAAAAAAATATCAATACATTTTAGGAAATGGTTGACTAATAGTAGTAGTATTATTACTAGTACTATTCAACAATGAGAAAGGGAACTATTAAGAACAAGAAAGAAACAAAACACAAGACGAATGAAACAAACGACATAAAATGAAATCATACGAATCTATACTTATGCACCTAAATTAGTTTTAACTGGAATATTTAATTCTATTTTCTTTCCTTTAATTAATAATATTATGTGTGTTGTATATTTATTTTCTTTATGTTATAACATTACTCATATATAATTGTGTATTGCAATTTTTATACGACTTATTAAATAGATCAATTTCACAAAACTGTGTCGATTGTATTCAATTAATATGCATAATTAGTTCATTATTTAATAGTTCTTTCTTCTTTCTTTCTTAGACTTGAAACAATCCGTTTAGGACCATCACCGTTTTTATTATGCTCCTCCACAATTCCCTGCACACTCATGTCTAGACTCTAAACTCAAGATGCATTATTTTATGGTTGGATACCAAATGTCAATATTTGACAATTTTATTTTAAACCAGCCATCGACGTACATAATTCATGTTAAGTACTCATATAATGCATATTGCAGCATACTGATGTTTAATAATCGATTACTTCATTTTCGCATCTAGTACAGCCACAAATGTGTTATAATATGTTTGATAAAGGAAATATTTCGTATTCGGTTCGTTACAAAAAAAATACGAAGCACGAATATTATATTATCTAACTATTAGAAGGGTGCGCGGGTAATGGAAAAAAAAACTAACTCTAACAGGGGAAAAAACTTTTTATTACATTAATAAAGGTTGTTCATCTTATCTTATCTGGACGAATATAATATTATTATGCGTATACAACTACAATACCAAACATTGAGGTTTATAGCTTTTTTAAAAAAAAAAAAGTTTAGACTTTTTATTTTACGTACGTCATGTTCTACAGTGTTGTTTAACACTTCTGTTCATATTTTATTATTTCAAATACAGGTGCCTTCCTATTATATCATAACAAAATATTATTTTCTTTATAAATGTTCAACGATAGTTAGAAATTTTAGCGTACGTATGTACATACTTACAGTGGCGTGCCTAGACATTTTTCAATGGGAGGGATTATAGAAAATAATAATCATGATTTATAAATAAATCGTAGAATCATTTTCTGTTATATTCACCCCGACAAAATTTAAAAGCCGGATTCAAAAACGCTAATTTTCATTTAATAAATTAAGCCTTTTTCATTGTAACTTGGTTAAAATTTATAATTTCAAGATAAAATTCAGGGAAACTAAGGGTCAATTGCCTCAAGGCTACAAATTTATTGTATAATGCCAAATTTTAGGTGGGTATCGAATTCGGACATTAAACATGATGGATAAACGATAAGTTGCCAATGATAAATAGCACGGTACTAACGGAATTACAAAATACAAGTACCTAATTATTGTATTTTTAAGCCAACGAAGGGAAGAGTATAACCACTGACCATTCCCCCCCCCTCCCGTGCAAGCTACTGTATATTTCTTGTACACATCGTCATTGTGACAAAGTCCATGAATTTATTTGTTTATTCTATGTTTATGTAAATGTCTAAGTAATTAACTGCATCTATATTTATGTACAATATATTAATTATACTAAAACTAAAATTGGTGACAATATTATTATTGAGAAAGTTATATCTAACTGAATTAACTTGTGATGATTTTTTAAATTATTCATAACACTTTTATTTTATTCAACTAAACTCAACACTAACTGTATCTATAATTTTGACCATCGTTTTAATTGAAACGAAAGTTTGGATTTCATATCACTATAATTGATAGACCGATAATACTATCGGCGTATCAAAAAATGAAAAACGATTAATATTCTTCTCTATACTTATTAATTAAATATTTGTTCGTATTATAAACTTTGTGATTTTCGTTTTTTGTTGTTATAGTTTAGTTGATAATTTTTTAGAAAAGTAGTCGATCTAAGATGCGCATAAATATAAAATAATATTTTACAACAAAAACTCCGACGAAACTTTTTTTTAAAACTTATTTTTATTTATTTATTTTCACGGCATATTTGTTTTAGCGATGAATGGATTTGATTTTATATTATAAGTTATAATCATTGTTCTCATATGAATAGACGGATTAAAGAAACATCCTGTTGGATAAACTCGGGCTTAACAAAATTTATTTAATTAATTGCATATTCTCGACGTTTTAGTTAACAATTTTTTTTCATTTCAAATAATATATTTAATAATACAACTCATTAAGTTCAATTAATTATCCCACGCATACTATTGACTCGATTACTGCTCTTGATAATTTAACAGAATCACGTCTGTATTCAATTTATTCGTTATATTTATTTATATTTTACTTTTCAATCGCTTGTAAATTAATTAAACGTTATAATATTTTTAAATTTGATGACCTCAGACACGTAATTATATCTGAACTCTATACGTTTTATACTGATGTTTTTTTTTTTTTTTTTTAGTAAAATTAATATTTTTGAGTCAAGCGTAGTCGCATGTTTATATTAAGACAAAGACGAGAGTTCAACCTTATACTGTCACGTCTGAGAGATAACTAAATTGTTAAGGAGAATAATAATAAATCTAAGTGGCGGGTATTACTGAAAGGTATATAAAATCAGATTTATAAAAAACTAATAGCAATAAATTTATAACATAGATAAGAACAGTGGGATACAATAGTAAGGGGATATTGCGATGGGATGTTGGACATACTTGGGGAAATCGATATCAAATGATAAGGATAGTGCTGGAATAATACCTAATCGGGAAAATACCAAATTAACACAATTCATCAATAAGAGATTATTTTACTAAGATAAATTCACAGTAGAATTTATAAACAAAGAGAAAAACAATCTTTTAAATTTCAAAAACTTCACTCAATTATCATTACCAGGATGGTTTTTCGTAGACAACTCGTGTTTTATAGACTAGTCATTTTTTATTTCTTTTAAAATTTAATTAATAACAGAAAAAAAATTCAAAAAAAGATAAGGATGTACTTCGCACGATGGGTGGGCGGCTATTGTAGGTGAGAAGTTAGGAAGGTAGGATATAGAGGAAAATTTAATCTATATATGTACGTAACGATTAATTTTTGTTAACGAAAAGAGATTCTGAGTTGAGTTTGGTTATATATTTTTTGAAAGGCCGTAATATTTACGATTTAAAAATAATATATTTTGTATATTTTCCCGTTTTTCTCGCTTATATGAAAAACTCTGAGAAAATCAAAAAATTACCTCTCTAAAGTACGATTCCAGTGAAATTTTTTTCAGAAAATGATACACTTAAAAATCGGAGA